GATAATGCGTTGAGGTTTTGCATTGTTCTCAATGATAAAGTTGGCTAGTGTAAATAATTCGTAATACTTTTAGTGAGGCAAAAGATTGAATTGGCCTTCAGTTTGGAGCCTGTTTAAAGACAACGTTCAAGGCTCTTATAGACATTGTCAAGCAGCTTGCAGAAGACTCTTATTTATATAGCCCCAAAGAGCTGAGGCCTAATCAAAGCCAGACACTGGCCGCAGTGAAGAAGAGGCCTCCTTCCTTGTTTCGGTTGTAACACCTTATAAAGTTATACTAGTTTTTTACCCAGGCCAGAATCAACAGATGTTTCAAGCCAGGCTTAATTTGGCAAAAAAAAAATCAACCAGAAAAAAAAGGACTCTGTACAGAAATTCCTGATTTGCATGCAGGAAAGTGTTTCTAACTCCTACCCCATTCTTCCCTTTCAGTCTTTCAGTTATGTTTTTTTTTTTTCCCATAAAATAGATAGATATTGGACTGCAGGGTCTGATGTCATCCTTGCTTTTTGTTCCTGTTGTATTTAATAGCTGGATATTGTGTTTTACTGGAAGAGATGAGTTTTCCATGAGTACAYTGTTAGACCAACTCCACTTTGCTTTCGGCAGTGCTGGTCTGTTGGGTTTGGTTCAACAGTGTATTGGTAGTCCCTAGGTTTTATGGCAGTGAACTCATTTGCATTTAGTATTCCTACCTTTTAGCATTTTGCATATCTACTGTATGCGTGTAAGGATAACCTGCACTTACTGTGCTTGTATAGGGTGATGCAGAAAAAAAGAAGATACTCAGATCCAAGATTAGTGGCTAGTACTCTAGAATTGGAAAAGCTACCTTGTCCTGGTCACTTGCTGTTTTAAAGGGCACCACAATCCTTATTTCTTAAGGAAGAAAGGTGGAAGTCAGGGCAAAATTAGCTTTCTTTGGCTTTGCAGATAAATTCATTCCAATTGAAAGCAGACCTTCCTAACTGGTTAATCTCWGKTAGTAAGTTTCTTGCTATCTGGCTRCTGTGGTTTTCATGTATCGTATCACTTATAAACTGCTAAAAAGACAGCAGAACAGGCAAGATTTAGATTTTATGGGAAAGAAAGAATAAAGCACTGAATGATGAAAATTTGGCTGACAAAACCTGAAGAAAAAAATGGCCCCTTTTTTACTGCTGCGTAAAACAGTGATAAATGTTATGGGTCATGTTTTCTTATGGGCCGAGAAAGGCAAACTGTTGGTTGCAAAAGGAAAAGCCTAATAAAAGAAAAGCAAAATATTTATCTTCTCCCTTAAGTACTTGGCACAACATGGAGCTCACCAGTGCCTACTGAAATAATCCAAATCCCTTTTCTTTTCTTGTAAATTGTGCCCTCATAATTTTGCAAAGTATATAATGTGTGGTGTTCATTACAAGAACTGTTTTTAATGGCTCCCCTCTGGAAGATCTGGAGTGCTTCGTCTTGCATCTTCAATGTTTCTAATAAATAAGTGCATCTCTAGTGGGTGGGCCAGGAAGATTAACTCTGGTGAGAAACTGCAATAAAGAGATGTTCAGCTATATTGAAGACCTGGTTTTATGCCTGGGGGCTCAGTTTTGAAATGAGATAAATAGGAAAAAATCCCATAGACTGCAAAGGGCACATGTCTGAATATCAGAGGTCAGAACTGACTGTATAATTTGGAGATAAAAGTATTGCACTGCTCCCAGTAAAGCTATTTAAAGAATAAACTACATGCTAATGATTGGAAATAGATGTTAATAAGATTTTAATGGAGAGAGTTTGAGAATGTTGTTAGCTAAGACTCAAGTGCAAATAAGGGTTTTCTCTGGGGAAAAAAACTTGCAATAAACTTTCCTATATATTTTTATTTTGTGGCATACAGTTGGTACTCACTAAACAAATTTTGGGGAAAAGATTGAATTTGGTGGGGGATGATTTCAGAAAACCCATATTCCTGGTTTTGTCAGCAGAGAACGAAAAATGAAGATCTTAATTGTCAGCCTCTTCCCTCCCCCCTTTTCTTTTTATTCCTTTACTTTCCTCCTCTACACCAACGTGATGATGCAAAGGTTGTCCTCATTATCCTCAGAGTGTCTTTCTCATTTTGCTTCTCCATGCCCATGGGGGTCCGTAGGGCAGAGGGAGCTGCGGATGCTCAGGACAGCTCGTGAGCAGCTCATCAACATCCCCCTGGAGTGGGGCACCTCAAGGAAGAAGCTGGAAGTAAATGAAGTGAGAACAAGGTCAGGGCTGAACTGTGTAGACTTGCCTGGTTCTATCAGCTGAGGTTTTCGCAGCTATCCTCTCTCCTTGTGAGGTCTGTTTGTGTCCTAGCCCACAGAAATGATCATTGTGGATGTGGACAAATGCAGAAAAAGAAGATGGCTTTGAGAAAGTTGGCAACTTAGCAAAAGATTGGGGAGAGCAACCAGACAAAGCCAGACAAGGAAATGCAAAGAAACGTAAGTTTCTGCAGCAGGATCATCTGTGGCCTCAGCTCTTCCCAAGCCAGGCTGCTGTTGACTATAGGGCTGATAGCTTTTAACAGAGCTAGAAGCAAAGTGGAACCTGAAGGAGAGATTTCTAGGAGGGCTGTGATAGGAGGGCTGTGATGTTTTGGGGCAAATATTGCCTGGGTGATTTTCCTGATGTCTTRTGTGCTGCTTGCTGTGGGCCTTCCCAGTGAGAAGCAAGCATCATTGCTTGCTCGAAGGCAGGGGTTGCTGTGCTGATCAGAGACATATGGAAGGGTTAGGCTGTGCAGAGGGGCTGCTGTGAGAGAAGGAGCTCGTGCTTGATTGGCTGGAGCAGGCCCATGGGTTGCAGCAATGAGCAGGAATAAGGAACATGGTCCTGGAAGCAGCTCTCCAAGCAGATGCSAGTGGCCTGTGGCTGCTGGGTGTAGTCTGAAAGATTTAGTGGAATATTTTCCACACATAGCCCCCATAAATGGGCCTTCTGGCTAATATCAGGTGTATGATTCTAGACACAGACTTCTCTGAGATATAGTTTAACTTGGGGTCCATGGGGAGTTTCCATTTTTGGAAAAGCAGGATGCCTCTTCCGTGGAAGTGCGGGCAAGCCCAGCTGCCTGCGGCGAACCCGTGCCCGTGGGCTTGCCGGAGCACCCGGCGGCGCGTGTCCTCGGCCGGCGCGGCGCCTACATCCCGCCCACGGCGGCAGAGCAGGAGCGGGCTGTTCCAAAGGTGAAAGGCCCCGMCGGAGGAGCGGGCGCCTGCGCGTGTCCAAGCTCAAATCCAGCTGGGCTGCTAACTCCGCGGTTCGCGTGGACAGAGCCTGCTYGTCCACCAGGAGGGTCCAGGCTGCTCGGAGCCCCATGGGCCGCATGGAGCGATGGCTGCCAACCCGTCCCGCCTCCCGCTTGCTTGAAAAGCTGCATCGCGCTTCCCACAGCCGCCTCACCCCCAGAGGAGGCTTCTCGTGCACCTTTTGGCAGTGATSAGTGGTGGATTTGCAAGGAGGTCACAGAACATGTCTGCAAGGAAAGGCAGACGAGCCTAGGTAGTTACCAGGAGAAACTGTATTTATTGGCTTGCACATGCTCCCAGCTTGGCGCCCCAGCTAAACGCTCTTCTCTGTTTTGTCCCTGGGCTTTCCAAYATGGGGGGGCTGTGAAGGGTGTTGGGGTGCACGTTACCTTGGGAGTTCGTTGTCACTCATTAACTTGCACCTGGAGCAGAGAGGCGGGRTGGGCGGCAACCGACAGGCCTTCCATACGGCTCTTTACCTCTAAAGGCAAAGTCCATACAGCTCGTGCTCCTTATCGGAGCCTCAAGCACGCATGGTGCGAAAGGATTTGCGGCTCGGACACACGAGGGGCTTATCTGCAGGGAGCCAGGTATGGCCAGCGGCCTCACGGTGACCAGCGCGCGGCCGCTGCCCCAGATAACGCGAGCGTCAGGGCTGGGCGCTCCTGTTTGAGCCCCTCGGACCCAGATAGCCCAGCCAAGCGGCCAGGCAGGGCTGGCTCTGCCCGTTTGCACTGCGATAAACCCACGGGGCTTGTGCTTTGCTCTGCACTTGCTTCCCTCTGGATAAGTGGTGTTTAGTAGCTATAACCCCGAACCATGCCTGCTTTTTATCTCTTAGCTAGGGAGGCAAATCTAGGCGTGAAATACATGCAAAGCTGTTCCTGAAATGTTAAGAACTTATTTTATATTTTATGTTTTTGGTGTTTTTTAATACAAAGAAGAACTTGGGGCATACTGGCGTAAAGCAGAATACGTTAGTTTAGAGAAGACCTTTGAAGGTCATCTTGTCCAAGCTGCCCTTTGGTCAAAGTAGAGCCAACTTCAAAGTTAGATTAGGTTGTTATTGCCGTAATTCATCTCCTCCTCCTGAAACTTTGAATCAGCTTGTGGCATTTGATTTGGCATATCAGGCTGTATGGGTGACCTGTAACTTAAGTGATACCATAGCAAACTTTACACTTTTAAAGATGAAATCTTTGCTGGGTCAGTGGTAATTTTGCCATTGATTTCATGAGGTCAAGACTAGCCCAGAGGTATCAGCTTGTTAGTTGCAGCTAGAAAAAAGTGAAACCATTCTTAAGGCTTTTGACGGGGATCTTTCATTTTAGCCAAATGAATTTCCTAGGTTCTACTAAAAAATAGTAGCATCAAACTATAAAAATGGTAAAAATTCCATCAAAGAGGAAGCAAGATAGAAACAAAAAACTTTTACACTCAACTGTTTACAAACTTTACTTCTAGTAATTCTACTCTCATCTTGTGCCATCTGTGATTAAGGTAATGGATATAACTTTGCAAATAAATAAATAAATAAAATAAGCTAAAAAAACCCAGCAGAGGGAATGAGTAGCTCGAGCGATGAGAACTTATTCCATGTGGAAAATCACTTCTCAAAATCTTGTTGTGAACAGTGCTGCTGGGAAGATACCTCCCTTGAAGTTGGTGGAATTGATTATTTTGCGTTGATATAAAGATCTAAAAGAAAACCAAGACTTGATTTCTGTTTTATGTATATAGCCGCAGGTCTGGCCAGTATACAATGAACCATGAAAACTCCAAGAAGACCCCTGATGGAGCACCGTTTGATCGCTCGGGTTCCCAGGACTCCTTGGATGAATTGTCTATGGATGACTACTGGAAAGAACTTGAAAATATTCATGAAACCAGGGGAAATAATCATGAGGAACAGGAAGCACTTGTGGTGAAAGAGCCAGATGGTAATGAAATTCATTGTCGTGCATGATCAGAAGTTTACTGCTTCGGGGATTTAGTTTAAGTCTTATTTCAAGAGATGGYACCCAGCAAAAACACTTTTGACTGTTGAAAATTCAGTTGTCTCTGACACACACGGCCAGAAACAGGCAGTGCTCTGAAGGAGAATCGTGTTGGAGGAAAATAGAATAGTAATTTTCCTTTAAATGATATTTGTAGAAAATCAGAAAGATTTGYGTATTTGCAAATTATAGGAGCATAGGCTTTATTTGCAGTTTACTGTTAACTTACCCTTTCATTCCTTTGTGAAAGTAATCTGTTATTGTAGCTATTGTGGGTAGCAACCTCATGATTTAGAAGACAAGTCAATGATTAACTATGTTTAAGTTTAGTAAGTAACTTCTGGACTTACAACCGTAACTGCTGGGGTTGTTTTGTTGTGCTATTTCTGTTTCTCTGAAGCTTCAAGCATGGGTCATTGCTAAGGGCAGGAGCTTACAGGAAGTGRGAAAATTATTTTTAATATGCTATCAGACAAATAGGAGAAGTGTTTTTAATTTGACTGCTCAAGGAGAAGTTCATTTTTAACAGTTTGATCCCTTCCCCTCTCAGAATCTTACGAGAGGCCTTGAAAGGAGCTGGAGCCTTGAAGCTAAGCAGCGAGTGTTGCCTTTTGGCGTAGCCTCTGGGTGGCCGAGCTTCGTTACCTTCCCAAGGTGTTTGTGCTCCCGGCTCCCCAGGTGCTTTGAATATCAGTGTTAATGGCTGACACCCTGTGCAGGCAGCAGCAGGGCCCCTGGAGAGCGGGGGACGGCTCAGAGGCAGCGCCGGCCTCCTCGTGACGCGACATGGAGGTTCTTCCTCCTGCCCGCTGGTGCCGCTGCCCTTCAGGCCCCTCGCTCCAAGAGCCGCCCTTTCCTTATTCATTTGCCCACGGATGTCAGCACGGCCCAGCCCGCTACCAGGCAGAACTTAGTGGCAATGTTTAAAAGAAAGTATGATGAGATGGATAGCGATTTCAGAAGCAGAAGCTCTGCCATCAGTGGCAGTATTTGATGGCTTTCCCCTCGTTTGTGTGCAATGATCTGCTGATAACAGAGACTTTATCAGCTTTAAGATTAAAGCAACGATTGTTTTGTAGGCTATCAGCAGTCCGGTGACCCTGTCGTGAGAGCTGATTAAAAAATAGCATTAAGGTGACTCCTGTGGACTGGTTTGTCCTTCATCAAATTGAGCTAGTGGAGAGCTGTAGGATTAATGTATCAAGAAAACTGTCCAGAGCCCATGTCAGTAAAGGAGCTTAAAAGATTGAGGACTGAATTAAAAATCAATGAAGCAGCAATGATGAGAKGCTTTCAAACTTCCCCATGCACATTTATAGCTAGGCTACATTTATAACATGGTGTACGACTTGATACATGTGTTGTAGATTATTACAAAATTGCCCTATAGCAACCTATAACGGATTAATTATTTAAAAAGCTTCAATCTCATATATATGTTAACCCTTTTTAAGTTCTTTAGAAACAATAGGAATTTTTTGTCATTATCAGGTAATGAAAATGAAAATAGTTGCTCSTAACTGTGGACTCCTTTGGACCTTGCCCTGTGAACCACATTGCCTTTGCCATGTTATTTTTATCAACGTGTTTAGAAGTACTCAAAAGTCAGTATTTATTTATTTTTTTCCTTTTCCTGGCTCAGAGGGGGAATTGGAGGAAGAATGGCTGAAGGAGGCCGGCCTGTCAAATCTCTTTGGGGAGACTGGGGACTCCCTGGAGAGTATGGTGTTTCTGTCCACCTTGACGCGAACCCAGAAGGCAGCCGTCGAGAAGCGAGTAGAGACTGTCACACAAACCATGAGGAAAAAGAACAAGCAGCACCAGATTCCTGATGTCCGAGATATCTTCAGGCTACAAAACGATTCAAAGGGAAAAGTAAGTTGTTGGCTGTCATTTGGTTGGATTCGGACAGAGGGAGGAGAGGGATAYGAAGGGTGGAAGGTGGGAGAGAAGAGCGGAGGCAGAGAGACAGAGGAGGTGTTTCCAGAAAGCTTTTGCTGATTTCCAAAGGAATTTTTTAATGAAATCACGGGAATAACATTGACCTAGAGCTGACTTGGCATTAAGCACTGCTAGTATGCAGAAAGGAGGATGAATGCTGTCATCCTGCTGCTCAAGAGTGATGAATAAAACAAACACTCCATGATGAAGGTACTGATCAGATTTTATTTCGGTGTAGACACACAAATCAGTGTAACAGACACTTAACRTGACCAAACGCCCACTTTTCTCTTTAGTCAGTAGTGGTCATTCTCAAGGAACAGCCTGTCAYGTAAGGAGCAATACCTCTTACTTATTTACTTCTGGTGCTTTCTTCTCTCCTCTCCTCTTTTTTMCCTTTTCAAAAGGACATCAATCTAACTACTCTCTCTTCATTAAATTGCCTGTGGCCAGTGGGTCAGGCAAGCAGCTGAGGGGACTGTATTTCCTCTCCCGAGGTACTAAGCAGGAGAAAAGAGTTCCTGTTCCATACTCAGGAAAGGGGAAACAGGGAAACAGAGACTATACTTAGAATTCCCCTTCTTTGGAGAAGATTGTSTCATCGTTATTCCCCCCGAAAGCCGCTAGCTCTTCAGCTGCAAGAAGACACATGCCATGTTTCTACTTCATTCCTCGTTGCTGCTGATGCCATTCAGTGTTTGTAGAGGCAGTAGAAGGACAGAGGGTTTTGAGTTGATTTCTGTCCTCCCCCAGCTGCCTCCTTTCCCTGGGCAACTCTTTTCAAATTGTACAGACATGAAGGTTAGTGGGGGAAGTTTATAGGATCAAATATGTACCTCAGAGATAAAACTTCCCTTTCACTGTTCTGCTTTGGATGTGGTTTCAGATATAAATGTCATAAAAGCTTTCTGGGGTCTGTTTGAGAACTGACTACAACTAAAAATTATAAGATGTAATAGTAAAATAATTTAGGTAATATCATCATGTAGTTTAAAGCAGTATGATTTCCCTTTCTAATATGTTATTTCGGCAAAGTACAAAAATGCTCTTGCTCCTGTATTTAAGCTACACACAGTAATTTTTGAAAATTATATGTTGTGGTGTCAGCAGGCTGCTGCCTCTTCTAAATGACCTGCTTTAATACGGATGACATCAGGGAGCAGTCTTGTGAACAGATGAACAATTGTAGTTTTGTTACATGGATAAGACAGAAGGGCAAGATAGTGATTAAATATAGTAATAGCCAAAAAGGAAGAGTCTTTCTAAACTGATCTCCTTGACCATATATATAAAATATATATATATTTTGTTCATATATATAATATATATATATTTTAAAAAATATAGCACTCAAAAGTGACTTTATTCCTCTCTCCAAAGCAAGATAGTCCTTTGGAAGTCATTGCTGGTGGTCCTTTCTCTGATCTGTCTCAGGAAGGCAGGAGTGAAGTGGCTCCCAGTGCCTCCCTAGGAATCCTGTATCCGTGCTTTGTTACTGCCTCATCAGCAGAAAACTTCTCATGCAGCGAAGCCATCTGCAGCTGGGTGAACTCATCCAGCTTAATAATAGCCTCTGAAAATCCCATCGCCTCCCTTCACCTGGGGGAAGGCAGGAGGAAAGGTAAAACAATAGAGAGGCTTGTGTTGATGTTTCTACTACATTTCCTGCCGTGTTCCCAAAGAGAAGCCTGTTTTTTTTGGTGCCCGGACAGTTTCCTGGTCAGCTTTTATCTTTGCTCTGTGAAACACTAGTGGGTTTATGAGCAGTTGGGCCCTTCACTCCCACCTCTTAAGATCTCTGATTAGCAGAAAATTATACAGATTTGTGTCAGTAGGAGAAAACTTTGAAACTCAAATTGGTGTTCTCAGTAAGTAGGGGTTTTACAGTATTTGATTAAAATGCCATTAGAAATCCACAGTGCTAACCAGTCAGTGTTGATCTGTGGTGTCAGAAAGAGGCTGAATAAATAATAATGTGGATAGTACCAAGTACAGACTTATCTATAGTAAGATTTTCTACACATTTTGAGATATTTCACCTAGAATAGCTGTCATACAGCTGAAGAAATACAAGAAACCTTGAAACTGGGATGTGCTTGGGCTTGCATTTTGTTGATGAACTCAGTTTGATACTGAGTATGTAGAACTATGTTTTCTGCTGGCTCACGTGGGGCTGGTTTGTTGGCAGTGTAGGAAGCAGAAGGTGGTGCAGAGCTGTTCCCGTTTTGTTATCTCTTCCAAGTGTCGCAGCTTTGCTCTTGGGCACGTGAGCTGGGAGCACAAATATTGATGGCAGGAGGCTGCTCGCCGAAGGGCTGGCGTTGTTCTCCAGGGGGAAGCAGCCGTGTTGCAATCTGCAAGGGGAAGGAATTTGCACTGAGTCAAAAAGTCGCTCCCAGATTCCTGTTTCATTTCCTTCCCAGTGTAAACTATGGCTCTAAGTCAAAGCCCACACACTGTTCTAACACTGGAGATTTAAGTCTTCTACACATCTGTCCACTTTTGCCCCTGTGGAAAGAGAAGCAACAGACTTAATTGCTTGATTCTCATTTATTTAGGATACAGCTCACTTTAGGCTTTGGCAGAGGGGTTTCTGATAAAGCCCCAGTCCAGCCGCTGGCAACACATACGTGGACTTCTGCATCCTCCTGGATTTCAGGAGTATGTGTTTTAATCCTGCACAACCAGAGCCAAAGGAGTTGCTACAACCTTGTTTGGATTTTTTTATAGACATGCCTGTATTTTGCTTCTTTCATAGGTCTGTGATGGAATCGAACCCTCAACTGTGAGAACATCTGAAAACAAAAACGAAACACAAGATGAAGCAAAAGGTAATGCCAAACAACTCCCTTGATCTTTCTCTTTTTATTGTTGTTGCTGTTTGTAGGCTTTCAACACTTCCCAGCGTAATACAGAGGCCCTAATTTCAAGGAACTTCAACAGAGGAAAATAAATATTTTATGARAAAAGCTGTTTTAGCCCTCCCTGTTATGCACTGCTAAAGTTTTTAAGTGTGGCTTTAGATAGTGTCCTTTGAGCCATCTGGTGAATCTCTTTTGTTGCCAGTGATCAGCCTATAATCGACTCATCTCTCATAGCTTACACTTCAGTCTTTCCTGGTCCTTAATTTATCCCTTCTGGTTTATCTTGGCTGTGCAGTACAGGAAATGAAGCACTATAGATAAGCTCATCAGTGGATACAGGAGAATGCACTATAAACATACAGAAAAGATGAGAATTGGCTATATATCCACAGCTCAGAATGAAAGAAGAACACCACTGGAAGGAAAAATAAGTTGTTTACCCTCCTAAAGAAGCTGGAAAGGAAATGGCTTTCCGTGTAGGGGGGCAGGTTGTGCTCAAGTGCATGTGGGCAGGCAAGGAGGGTGCRATGCCCCTAAATAGGGCAGAGCACGACAGAATCGTTGGCTGAAACCCTAGTTTTTGTTAAGAGAATGTAGATTTTGATGAAAGCTTTGAAAAGGCTCTCTGCTCTTCTTCAGTGCCAGGAATAAAAGGCTGGTGATGCTGAGTTGCCCTCCCTTCCTTGGGGACAGGCATCGCGCTGTACCTGCTGTGCCATCAGCCCCATCTCCGTAACTCCCACGTGCTGTAAAATGTATTCTGCGTGTTACTGGCAGCCGTGTAAGCTTTAAGATTTGGTGTAAACAGTGTGTTGCCTTTCTGTGTTGTTTTTATGTCTTGTCTTCTTTTTGAGGAGAATGCATAGCACTTAATTGTTAAATTGGACCCTACAACCACTTAAATAGGCAGATAGATGGATGAAGTTCCCTACTACAAACCCAGTTATCCGTAATTAAGCCAGCAAATAACCTTCTGCGGTAGCTTTAGAACATCGACTTGCAGGATGTTGGATAAATGGTTTCTTCAGGATTGGAACTAGAAAACAGCAGCAAACAATGAAAGATATGCATGGAAGTTGAAGTGGGAGAGAGGAAGATAAAATAACCCTGATTATCGCCAAATCTCTGTGTTTCCAAAAGTGCTATGAATCTTTCCCTTCCTCAGCAAACCTCACTCGAACAAGAACAGTAAAAAATCGGGAGGGCTGCCAAAGTGCTGGATCAGCGCGAGGGAAGGAAGAGACGCCTGGTGCTTGTGTCAGTAAACGGCGCCGGGGGATTCAGGGCTGCAGAATTACCAAGCAGTTCTTGCCGAGTTTTTATCACATCTGGTTCTTTTTTCCAGTGGCCCCGATGAACCCTTCAGAAATGGGCAGCTCTGAATTCGAGGCAGAATGGCACACATCCATGTGCCAGCTCTGCACAGCACAGACCGGGATGCAGGCCACAAGTGCAGCCCCCTCACATCCCCACACGCTCCTGCTCCTGTCAGCAAGCTGAAGTGGGCTCTGCCACCCAGATTAGAGCAGCAAGGGAAATTAGTCCAGGTCTAGGCAAATGACCCAAGCTCAGTTGCTTTTGAAGTGCTGCACCTGTCTCAGGGCTGTGCCCTGAGATCTTGCCTCCAAAACGATGAGCTCATTTGTTTTATGCAAACAGTAAATGAATGTGAGGCAAAAAGTAAACAATGCCTACTGTTTCAGAGCTGCAAAGTAGCTGTGAAAACCAAATCCAAGAGCATTATTTTAAAATGGAAGTCCTTTACATGAAAGATGCAGTACCAATTTTATCTGAAAAATACAGGGATCTTCTTAGATGTTAAGGAAGAGAATCCAAAGGTTAAATCAGGACAATGATGTTTCAAACCGGTATGTCTCAAAAGTGCTAGGGTGACTTTGTTTGGCCCCTCTGCAGGGGTGATGACTCTGCTYCTGCTTTGCTGTGTGAATGTGGGATTCGCGGGTGCCCTGCCGAGCAGCTCCCGGTGAGCTGGGTGCACCCGGGCTGTGCTCCCTCCTGCCTTCCCGCCAGCCCGGGCCCCTGTCATCCCTCCCGGAACACGTGTAAGGAGACACGGGGAATAATGGAGAACATGGTGCTTTTGTGCTTTGCTGCCTGGCCTCATCAAACAGGGCAGCTGAATGAGTTCCTCCCTCTTTCGCTTCGTCTCTTAATAAAGGCATATGAGATTTTTTTTTTTGGAAGGCCCCTTGCTCACTACTTTTAGGTAATTATTTGCTGAATGCATTCTTATTTTATGTTGTAGTGTTGAATCTGTCGTAAACAAAATTTAGAATTGCATCCTAAGCTTTCAAAATACGTTATTTTAATTATCTATAATTCTTGCTAAAATCCCAAAGCTGGCAATACCTTCAGCAGATAAAAGTAGGGGAAAAAAAGTAAAGAAAAAACAAGTAATTCTCTTTGGATGCCTATGCAGTGGTGTAAATAGTAATGTGGATAAGAAATCTCAGGAAATGAAAGCAAATAATTAAACAGATGGGAAGCTAAATACTAATTAGCTTGAATAAGTGAGAAGCAAAAGTGGGTTTAGTTTTGGGCTGCAATCGTCTTTCCAAACATAGATCCTTGGCTGTAAGAGAAGATGAAAGACTTGAGCCTACAGTGTGGAACATGAGGGAAAAGAGCCATATTGTTTGCTCCTTAACGAGAAAAAGCTTTTTAAAAAAAAAAAATTAAAGATTTGTTTCTACTTTTAGTTTTATGTGCTCATTAACGAAACCATGGCTGGAGTGATAAGGTAATAGTGAAAAGACAGCAAAATTTTTCTGTTGAAAGTCATCAACAAATAAGGATTTTAGAGAAATGTTAGTTAAAAACAAACAACAATTCCTCTTTTTCACTTATAAATTAAAATCTATCAGTGTAACTCCAGTGGGGCACACTGTGGATTCTCTAGCAAAATCAGGAAATAGCAAGGTTGTCCCCGACCCCACTTCTGAACAATTTCCCTCACTTTATGTKCTCATTAAATAGCACCATGTACCGAGGAAAGCATACAGAGTTGATTGTAAGATATGGTTCCCCCTCCTTGTTAATAGCCAACATTTGCATTTTCAGCATCCCACACACTTTGCTTGTGAAGGGCTGCACGCAGCTGGCCGGGGTGACAGAAACCCAAACCTGCTTCCTCCTACAGCTGCTGCCTCGCTGGGAAGTGCACAACAGGAGCACCAGGGCTGAGGGAGCGGACAGCAGCATTCCCAGACATTCCCAAAAGGTGTGCATCCTTCCCGAGGCAGAAATCTCTGGGGAGGGAGGAGCTGTTTTCCTCTAGGGGAGATGCTGACACAGGTGAAGCGATGTGAGCACACACAGTAACGTGGGGGCGGAAGAGCCGAGCGAGGGATGAACTGGACCCCGGGTATGTTTGGATACGGAGGTGTCATGTATCTCTTAGTGACAGCAGCGGCTCTAGTTTCAGGATCAGCTTAATCTTTAGCCCCGGGACGCCTGCCAGCTTCTGTCCAAATTGAGCAGAAGCTGATCTGGAAAGACAGCGGTGAGTAACACAYAGAGCAGGTAAAAATTGGAAATACCTTCTCTGGATCGGCTTTCCTCGGTTGTARGCAGAGTCAGAGTGCTAACTCAGATGTACCTGCCCTTGCTGGAGCTGCCTCGGCTTCACATCAGCCAAACTGAAGTGACAGTGTTTGCACTCAACATTGTGTCCTGCCAGAGAAGGGGTGGTGGTGGCTGGATCCATTTTAATACACTGCATCAGAGCCTCTGGGTTTGGCCTTGAGTGCCTGAGATAACTTTCAGATCCCATCCTAAATTAGTGACAGTTCTACTATTTTTATTATTTAATAACGCTCGTATTTATTATTCAATAACAATTTTAAAGGAGCAGCGTTCAAGTTGGTGTGTTTTTCTTACTTTATAATTAGCTCCCTCAGATATTGCTTGGGTTGTGACTCGGCTCTGTGCAGGCCCTTGAAGCTATCAGTGTGGAGCAGCACTTCCCTGGTGCCCGCTCGCTGGGCCAGATCAGCTGCAGCCTTTCCTCTGCCCCAGGCTTAAATKTTGCTGAAACTCCTTTCTGGGAGGCTTGGCTGCTTCGAGCTAGCTAGTGGTGAAAACAAAGTCATCTATGATGTTATTTGATATATTCATATAAAAAAAGGCATATGCACTGCCTGTAGTTCTCCTCTTTGGCTCATGTCCCTTCCCATCCCACTTTTTCTGCACCTCTGTGCATGTATGAATAGGCTGCAGCCTCCTCTGAGTAGGAGGCAGCAGCAGACTCATGGCCCCGGTGAAATGAGCAGGACTGATTTATTTATATTCACTCTGGTTTAATGAAAGTCTGAATTTTATAACAAAAACTTGCAAAGTATTTGTAGTATCTGCTACATGGAACCTAGTTGTGACTGTGTCCTTTCAGAAGTAGCACCTCACAGGCAGTGGTGGAGATGTCAGTATGTTTCTGTGGCTGAGTTATCTTTGAGGGKTGCCATTACCTTGTATATTTACCATATACAGTTTTTCTCTTGTTTATTTCCTGATATGTTTTAACTRCACACTGAAAATCAGTGGTTGGTTTGCTATGAACGTTGACTTCTTCTTTCTGTAAAAGCAGAACTGCTTCTCACTCCTTCTTCTTTCCYTTTTTTATCTATACAAAATCTTCTAAATTTATCTAGAAATTAATGCCTGCATAAGGAACAAAGAAAGAGAAGTGAGCTGGTGTTGTGTGCTTAGTCCTTCCTGGTATCATGGAAGCACATCCATTTTTGAGGAATCTAGACTCTTCAGACTGAGGAGGGGACGGGAATGTAGGACAAGGCCATGAACTTCTAGTCCCCATCGTTCTCAGCTTGTATTCCTTTGGATCCAGGAATAAGCATTTTGSTTTGCTTTTGAAATTACAGCATCAGAAAGAAATGCTGCTTTGGTTGCAAGTTACTGTGGTCCTTTAAGTGTCTGAGGACAAGGAACCTACGATGTTCAAGTTATTTAGTTCTGGAACATCTTGAAATTTGTTGTTTGTTTGAGATAGGTGGCTTTGTCTTTTCCATGATAGACAAACAGGTGAACTGTGTAACTATTGTAGGTGAACTGTGGCTGGCAGAGGTGCTCTGGGGTAGCTACAATAGTGGAGTCCTGAAAGGACCTGCAWTTTCCTCTGACAAGAAGACCTAGAAGTGAATGACTTTGCAAGCAGGAGACCCATCCTTTGCACAGGATTAACTTCCRCCTAGTTTTAAATACTTACGTTCAAGCACCGAGTGCTGGCTAGCAGCGCAACTCCTGATTGTCATTTTTTTCCTGTTTCCAGGTCCAAAGTTCAGCCTTGGGACGGATGATCGGAGCAGCCCCCTGGAAGACACGCGGCTCTCCGAAACTGCCATCAACTTGGAGATAGCGTTTTCGGAGCAGGCGGCCAGCCTCAAAGACAGCTCTGTGGGCAGAGTGGGCAAGGCTGGAGGAGACGACACTCTTCTTCCTGTACGTGCCACCTACTTATTGCTCTTGTTATTAGTTTTCAGTAGTGCCTCTGTTTGGATAATGTTTCTCTGATAGTGGTTAAATTAGATTTAGAAGGGCCCAGCTTTGTGGGAAAAGACCTGCTCAAGATAACTCCTGTTCCAGAATTGCTCTCGGTTACATGGGCACAGTGCTTTCCTGCCTATTGTTGTCTTTCTGGTAAAGTGCACTTCATGTTTAAGTAGTAATAACCTGTKAATATTCAATTGGGAATAACGGCTTAGTGGCTTAGTTATCTTCACCGTAGCTCAGAAAGCTCAAGTTAGGTTTGCTGGAGCAGACCCTCCGACTAGAGGCAATGCAATTTTTGGTAATTTTCCACAAACTCTGTCTCTGCTTCATATTTTACAGCTTCTTTCCCTGTTATTTGAGGCGAGATGCTTTATCTCTGTAATAGAAACCTCTGCCCTCTTTTGGAAAGGATTAGTGGATGTCTGTAGAAATCTTGTGCAATTATGCAATGCAGCTAGGTGAGGAATAAGAAGGAATAATAGAAATATCTGTAGAATGAAGAATGAAGTGAGGTGGCTGGACATGGAGAATTAGCTTGTGCTAAATTGTATTTTCTACTTCTTAATAAAAAGAATCACTCTAAGAACTGAAATAAATACAAGGCATTTTGTCATTGATSCTCAGTCATCTCGAGGGTCCCTCTGCCAGACACCTTGTGAACATGCAGTCCCATATGAGCTATAAGCTAATGACCGGTGTGAAAATGTTTCTTTTTGTCTCACAGCAAATACGACCGACACGTCTGACTAAGCCCACGTGTCTGCAGTAATAATGTTTCGCAGTTCTTCAAGCAGCTTAGATAAGGACATGGGCAAATCCTTCAAGAGGTCGCTGCCCACTGGTGTAATGGTTTAAACATTCTGAACCAGACTGCAAGGAATATTCAGAAATGAAATCTAAAATGCGTAAATACTGGAGTTAATTTCTATAATACTGCCAAAAACAAGAAGACTCTGGCCACCCTATAGCTTGTTTTTGTATGCTTTCCTGTTGCATGCTATGTAATATAGGGAGCCTAGCTACACCATTAGCTAGACTTGTGAAAGATTACCAAAAGAAATGACTGAGATTTCTGTTTCAATAATGAAAGGAGTGGCAAAATGTTAGGCAAAGGGAGTTAACTATTCTAATCTTCCATCAGCTTTCATCAGTGGCAGCTATCTTTAAGTACATCTGTTTATGTATGTGCGTGAAACCTCGAGGCAGGAAATGGACATATCTACCATTAGGAAGCTGCAGTTGTTTAAAGCTTAGATAGGTGCCATGAGAGCCGTGTACCGCAGCTAGCAATACAGTTGTGCTGTTGCTGGGTGCATACAGCATGAGAAAATGGTTCTAAAATGCAATGCTTGTTTTTTTCCTAARTGGAGAGAAGTTATTGGCGACAGTTCTGCATTGTGCTTTGAGTCACACATCCTGCTTGTGAGASGCACAGGCAAGAGCCATTAGAGACACAGTCATGAGATGGAGAAGATGGAGTTAAAAAAGTTCTGTGAAGTGGGAAATTTTTCTTTCTCTTCTTTTTTTTTTTTTTTTCATAATATTTTCTGCTTGCCTCAGTCTCTGAGAGGGGCTCCTGGACATCTATTGAACTAAAATAAAAATAGCCCACAATCATTTTATGGGAGCTGAATATGTGCCTAAATGCACATGGATTTCTTTTCCAGTTGTGTGAGCCTAGGATTGTTCATGGGCAGCTGTTYCTACTACTGTAAATTACAAAGAGAGGCAGAAGATAGGGCATTTACCAGGAAGGCAGCGCCAGGCTCTTCCTGGAGATTCACAGGGAAAGGACAAGAGGGGATGGACACAAGTTACAACAAGAGACATTCTCCTTGTGTGTGTGGGAAAAGAAATTCCCAGGAGACTCTTAGGCATCTGAATGCCAGAGAGGCTGGGGAAGCTCTGGCTTGGGAAGTGTTCAGAGTTCAGGTGGACAAAGCCTTGAGCAACATGGTCTGACTTTGCACTTAGCCTTGCTTGGAGCAGGGGGGTAGGTTAGTTTAACTCGAGGAGTGACTATGAAACTAAAACCTTCTCTGATTCTGACATCATCTGCTCTGCAAGTTGCCTGTGTCTCGTGACGCAGTCAGAAGCAGCAGGCTTCCTTAGGAAAGGTTGTGCCCTGAGAGGAGCACGGCCTTCCAGCTAAGGAATTTGTTATGACTTGGGATCTTCACTGTGCTGCAATCTCTGCTTTCAGAACTTCAAACTGCCGAAGGACAAAACGGGCACCACGAAGATTGGTGACCTGGCCCCTCAGGATATGAAGAAAGTCTACTCGTTAGCACTCATTGAATTAACTGCTCTCTATGACATACTTGGGACAGAATTCAAGCAGCAAAAAGCTGCAAAAATCAAAACCAAAGGTGAGTCATTATGTTTCATATTCTAAAACAAATGCCTTATATTGTAAACAAATACTTGTATCTGTACTTGCATTCTAAAACAAATAACATCTTCATGATTTTTCCAGCAGAAAATGTGTATTACTCTCTAGACATTAATGTAAGTCTTGATTTTGGGCATCATCTGGTTGTAACATGCCACCTCAGGGCACATTCTAGCCAAATTCATGGGCACAGCCAGTCCAGCTGAGAGCCCCTGCTCCCTGTGGACAGTGGGCCCTTAGTCCAGGCATGGCTAAGCCGAGCCTGGGAGGGCAGAAGCGCCTGGACCGCGGCCCTTGCAAGAAGGACCGATGGGCAGCATCTGCCTGCGCTTCCAAAATGCTAGWGGTTTTTGGTGCTTTGTTTGTTTTCTGTGTGTCTGGCTTCTGCTAAATGTTTTACATGAGCTTGAAATGTGTTCCCAGTTAATCACAAGCCTGCTTGGGCCAAAACCTCGTTGTCAAGGTTCAGTGAATGTGACAGAGCAATAGCTCGCTTTAAATAATTCAAAACCACAGAGAGGGCTGAGAGCAGCAAGGTGCAACCGATTCTGGAGAGCACAYTCTTCGCAGCAGTGGAAAATAACTTCTTAAATGCAAAAAAATACACAGAGAAACATCTAAGAGATTTGATCCTGTAATGAATTTTCATCTTGCAGGAGTGCTTGTGCTTTCAATACATAGGGAATAGACTAAATATTTTATTCCTTTTGTTTTTGTATTGTAATTTTAATTGATTAAGCTTATTGAATCTCATTTTTAATTGAACCTCACAGCATTTCTAAACAACAAGGAATCAGGAAAGATATTAGCTTGATTAAAAATCCTCTGTTTTCATCAAATCCAATTCTGAGCCTTATTGCTCTGCATGGCCCCCTACTTTTCTCTTATGCAATGTTGTTTGGCCATTTGGTTCATACAGTGGTGGATCTATTGGCTGTTCTCCTTGTTCTTGAGTAGATAAAGGTGATGAAAACGTGATTCCTGCGTGGAACGAAGTGCTGCTGCCAGCTCAGTCTTCGTCCAGGCCTCCTCTAGTTTGTTTCTCCACCTTCATCTCAGTAGAAACTTTGGCTATTGACAGGATCTGCAAACAATAAAACGATGAGACATTGGCTAGTGAGTGTATGGCCTCCACGCATTTTGTATGTGGGCTTTTCCTTCTGGTAAGGAGATGCAAGAGCTGCCTGAATTGGTGCTTAAACTGGTGTTTCTTTGCCAGCAAAGGCTGCCATCCTTTTGGGGTTCAGAGCTCTTCAGTGCTTGCTGCTGGCGTGGCATCGTGCAGGGGTTCCTAGCTATGTGTTGTGCTCCATGCGCTTCCAGGAAAATGGCATTCACGGCCAGTCCCAGGACTTCTGACAGAGGAGCTCGGCAGAGGAGGGCAMCAGACTGTGTGTTGGGGGTTGCCACAAATGGGGGAAGCCTCTTCTTAGGCTGGTTCATAAGCATATGAATCCTATTTACTTCAAAAAGTTTGGCATTGAGGCTAGAGTACCTGAAACTAGGCTGCCTTATATATCTTATTGTTTCTATTACCTTTGCAGTATGGTAAGTGGTGTTTTCTAACCAGCAGTTACTGCCCTTTAGCTCTCGTTTTAAAAAGTGCCACCTTTGGCAAGAGACGATCTTGTTGTTCTGCTGATAATTATATGTTGCAAAAGCCCAGGAAAGYTGAACAGCTCTTCTTTCAAAATGCTCCTGGAAACCCGTGTTAAGAGTAAACCTGGATGATAATTACCTCTCCTTCATTTTAGTAGGATAAATTTAGTAGCATTTAGTAGGATAATTACCTCTCCTTTATTTTAGTAGCTAATTTTCAGGCTATTTTCCCCATGCTGTTTGCATCTTAGCTGCAGGAAGTTGCACTGAGGGCAGGAGGAGCAGTGGCCGGGTCTCCGTCGCGGCCGTTGCGCGCACCGGAGTCCCGCAGGTGCTGCCTTGGTGCAGTTTGTCTTGCTGCACTGCAGAACATGAGCACGGCAGTTTGAAGTTGAAAGGGGGGGTTTATGGGTGAAGGAAGAGATGGATGAATCCTTTTATTGCCAAAAGTGCTCTGTTTAATGGCTTGATGGACAAAGGCGGTGAGATATTTTGAACAAAAGGTCAGTAGCTCTGAATGTACTGAACAGGCTTATCCCTTCAAAATATGGTTTTGTGCCATTAGCTCGTGTATTGGAACAGATGTGGATAATGTCTTGGTTTCTTTTGCCTTTTTCTTCAGACTCTGGCTTGTTTGGTGTCCCACTTGCAGTTTTGCTGGAACAGGATCAGAGGAAGGTGCCTGGCACCAAGACCCCACTGATTTTTCAAAAGGTAAGTAGGCATGAGCAAGTCAACTTAGTGCATACCTGCGCATGAGAAACAAATAACATTTTGTCCCGGATTTACTTGCTCCCTGTAACAAAGTTTTCACTGTATTTACTTTAAGGGAACCTATTTGACTCTAATCAAAGTTTTTGGCAGTGTTTATTTGCAGGTTTATGTATTAATTCACTAAGTCTCCTGCTCCATATCACACATATTTTGAGTTAAATGAATAGTGTTCAGTTTCATTCTGACTGTTCTCTACTTGAGAGGTATTGTGAACTATTGCTGATGAGCTTCAGGGCCAGAGCAGGTAGGGGTTTTGAGTGAATGACACTAGAAAAACATGTCAGTAGGATGTGCAAAGTAAACCTTGGTTTAGGCAAGCTTTATAGTAAGCCTGGGGAACTTCCCAGTTGCTGTACTGTCAGTATAACAATTCTTGTACTGATAGAGTTGTTCCGATGTGTATAAGAAGCCACTGCAGCCAGTTCCATTTCACAAGGGCGCTGTAGCTCTCCTCGTCTAAAGGACAGAGATTTGTCTTCCTGAACAAATACTTCAGGCTCTGTGGAAACTCTCAGTGCTCGGCCCATGGCTTAACCTGCCTTTCTGGGATGTGGCTTTCTCCTCTCAGAAGTTATTTGGGCCAAGAGGCGAGTGGGTGTCAGGGAGCGAGGGGGTCTCAGGCTGGGCGGCTCTCTGGAGCCGCAGCAGCAGTGTTTTTTTCAGCACATTTTTTGCTTTAAGTTGTGGTGGGACCTTTTGGCCTCTACTGTGTCATGTTATTGGGGAAGACACAGGGAAAGATGATAGATTTACAGCACTAACGCAGCAGGTTTTGTCACATGAGAGGAGAGAAACCACCGTATGTGGACACTGAGAGAAGCTCAGTTCAGTCTCATCACCATTTCAGGGGCCTTTTTCTTAATTTTCCTCAAGAAACAGAAAACTCCTAGTAATTGTCCATCACTCTCTTGATACCATGTCATTCATAGTAGAAATTACTTCCTCAGGGCCATAAAAATGTATTTCTAGGAAAGACAGTATCCAGAATCAAAGATATCAAATGACAAAAAGTGATTGAGCACTGGGATATGGTAGCAGCATCGTGTTCCAGGAAGAAAATTCTGCATGATCATTTCTAGCTCATATATGTAATTTGTTTTGCRAGACACAGGTGTCATTTGGAATTTAGCTTTTCTTTAAATGAGAAAATAGAAATAAAAAGGTCCCTCATTTCTTCAGCTTCTTCTCTGCAGCAAGCGTTTTCAAAGAAGAGGAGGATTCTATAAAATATAAGGTGGAACATTTTTGTGGAAACTTTTTTTTGCTCTCTGGGTATCACTGGTGTGAAACAAACAAAGCTAACAGGAAAGCTGCTTAAGTTAAAAAGAAAAGCTTTAATAAATCACCTAGTGATTGAAGAATTATGGTTAAAAATGGTAACACAATATAGCTCATGGAGTTTCTGCCTGGAGAATCTGAACCCTGCAGTATACTATACCTGTATTTTTTTGTCTGATTATTGTATTCTCCCATAGATCTGTGAGGATTTGGTGGATTCTGTCTCATTTTTTGTCACTTTAAGATGGGCATTTTTGTAAGAAGGTAGCTCATCTTCYTAGCAGAAGCAGAACTTCCTAAAAGGTAGAATGGGGACCTACAGGTGCCATCCTGCAGACTGTCAGATGCCTCTGAGATCTCCTCTTTAAAGCCACAGAAGTGCACRTAGGTAGTTGAAGGACTGTTCAGATCCATATTTCTCCACAGGAAATTTCCTCTGAAAGYCGTTCAGGTCTTTGGCTGCTAACGAAGCAAAGACAGAGCAGTCTGAAAATAGCTGAAGGGGACGTTTCCTGCGGGCGGAGGCTGGTGACCAGCAGCAGAATTGCAGCTGTCTGCGGGATGGAGGGGTTGTGGCAGCTGCAGCACTGCTGTACCTCCCCACACACCTGAGGACGGTGACCAGATCGCGGCAGTTACAGAAACAAACTGCTCTCCTAGCTCTGGAGAGGGGCTGGATGTGGCAGGCTTTGTCTTTTCCAAAAAAAACTCTCTTTTTAAAAAAGCGTTCATGAAAATGATGAGCCGTATTAAAGATTTCTTCTCTATCTACAGCAGCAGTAACCCATTTGTAAACCGTGTGTTTACATGTGTATGCCCACCCAGGCATATATAAAGGCTGCACTATATTAGAACYGTCACTAATTTTTAATTAGCCTCTTTTTTTCATGCAGTTTGGTTTGTTTTGACAGCTGATTTCCCAGATAGAAGAGGCAACACTGGAAACAGAAGGACTGCTTAGAATACCCGGAGTTGCAACCAGAGTAAAGGTAAAATACTGCACAGACTGGCAGCGCCACTGAGGCTTATCTGAGCTTGCTGCCTTGAGATTGGTCTGGGAAATATATTCTAATGCCAGGTTGTTATTCAACTCTTTAAACCCCAAAAGCAGAATGTCTTTGCAAAGAAAACTGGGTTACATTAGCCAGGAAGCTGATGATTTCATTCAGGGTAGTTTTAAGAAGATGACTGGAGTTCAAGTTTGAAGCTGAGTCAAGGCTATGCTTTAAATTCAGTTGTGCCAAAACCTCATTAATTCTTGGCACCAGCTTTCCAGCCTCTTGTTTTTTTTTTTTTTTTTTTCCCCTGAACCAGCAGCTCATGCATAATATTTCTGCCTCTCGGGAAGCTCTTCTGTGGCCCCGTGAGCTTATATTAATAGCCAGACCTAACCTGCATTGCAGGACAAAGCCACTCGCCCGCACGGAGGGGCCTCTCACGTGTGTTTTTCTGAAGAGCAGGGTGAGCYGGAGGCCTAGCAGGCTCAGGCCAGGCCTGCTAGGCCACCCTGGGCCCACAGGGACACGGAGCAGAGCCAGGCCCGGCTTCCCGCTCTTGGCCTGCCTGCAGCGGGCCGGGCCCACAGCAGGATTCGCACCCAGTCAACGCGATCAAAAGATGCTCCGAACCCGGCCCGAGGTTGTGAATGGAAAGAGCCTCTAAGTGGGTCCAGCTGTGCGAGGCCGCCTGCCAGCGTCGGTCGCGCAGAGCTTCGTCCAGCAGCTGCCTCCTTAGAAGGGACTGAAAGAAAGGGAGATTGTGGCAACTGCCTTTGTTTCTGCACCAGTCACTAAGAGCTTTCGCTGCAGTTTTCCTCCATTCTCTACTTTTCACTTCTYGTCAGTTCTGCACACTGGAATCGTTTTGTTGCTTTGTTTATTCTTGAATTTGATTTGTTTAATGCGATTTTCCAGGCAAGAGATCACTCACTGGTTGGCTTTTATTGTTTTTTGCCGATTTATTTGAAGGAGCTTCTTTGAATTATGCAATTGCTTTGTTAGCTAAGATGTTAAGTTCACTTACTCATTTTAATAAAAAACTTCATAGAAAATCACATAATATTAAGATTGATGTTTTCTGTCAATTTTTTCTCAAATTTTCTTGAACTTTTTTCTCCTACACAAAAAGAAAATATTTTCCTTCTTCAGTAATTTTACCAGAAGGGATAACCTCCAGAAAATATTTTGTTATCTTTTTTACAGATTTCAGAATAACTTCTTAAAAATGCTGTTCATATCTATAACACCTCTACATATGTGTATTTATTTTAAAATTTAAATGTTAGTCTATTAGAATGCATAGCTGATGTTTTCCTCTTGCCACTGAGAAGAAATATTTTATCTAGTTGTTTAATACATTTGCCCCAGTGATTTGTTTGAACGCAGATGGAGAAGCTAGAGAGAGATACTGTAAGGGGGATTTTTCATATGTATTTCTCAAGTTTGTTTTTCTTGATCAGCAGGAAATCGCACGACTTGACTTTAGGCATCTGAGTTAGGATCTTAGAGCCTGTGAGCCTCCGTGTAATCAGTGGAGRTGGAAGATCTCTCTGGAGGACCACTGACAAAAGCCAACTTTTATTTCAGTCTGCAACACTTAATCTTAAGTGTCTATTTTCTTTCAAAAGCACAGATCAGTTTTCCATTTGTGCAAAATTAAATTTAACAAAAAAAATACTGTTTTTTTTATTAGTGTTCTTTATCCAGCGTGCACTTCCTGTCCAGATAAATAACCAAAGCCAAATTTTCCCATGGTAAATCATTTTGTGTCACGCACTGTGCAAAGCCAGATAGTGTTTCTGTGCTCGCTCTCTGCTCAGAGGAACTGAAGCAAAAAGAAGGGAGCTGCAGCGAGGGCTCGGCCTCTGGGCTGGCAGCACGGCCCCWTCTGCAGAGGGTGTGTTGGAAATCGCTGTGTCCGGAGGCATGAGGTTCCCTCCAGGTGACAAGGCACCCAGTGGTGCAAGCACCCAAAATCTCAAAGTCACCCAAAATCCCACAGTCACCCAAAATCCCACTCTTGTGTTTTAAAAAGAGATCAAACCTCGCCTGTGTTTTGCTAGGAAACGAAGTGTGAGCATGCATGCTTGCCATGTTTGTTTATGAAAAGCACACACGTTAGAGTAACACTTCTGGTAGGCAGCTTCACAACTGCTGAGAAGTAAGAGCCACATCTTAATATTTGTGGGGAGGAGGAGCCCGTAGCCCTTATGCGAATGCCTGGGGTATCTGGCTCTTGCAGAATTTTCCATATGGCCCCAAGGCACAGGATTTCTTCCTCTGTGATTTGGCAATCTGATGCCTGTTACTSTTTGTTTGCTCCTGATCTTCAATTTAGCTTTTTGTTGCAAAAGATCAGAAGATCAGTGGTAGCTGGAGTTAAGTGCTGTTTCGGATGTCTTTTTTTTTTTTTTTTCTTTGTATCATGTAAAACTCCCAGCAGCCAAGTGTTATCAGTGCTCTCTGCTTGTTGCTTTTCAGAGTCTTTGCCAAGAACTGGAAGCAAAATTTTATGAAGGGACTTTCAACTGGGAGAATGTAAAGCAGCACGACGCGGCGAGTCTTCTGAAACTCTTCATCCGAGAGCTGCCCCAGCCACTTCTCACTGTGGAGTATCTCAAAGCTTTCCAAGATGTGCAGAGTGAGTCCATCTCAGTTGTGCAGAAGGAAGACCATAAGTGTGCTGGGTGCAGAGAAGTGTTGGCCTAGCAGCATTTCCACTAATAACATGTTTACCCAGGAAACAAACTGGATAGCAGCCTTATCGCTTCACCTGAGAAAAGACAAGTGTAATTTTGCTGACATACAAATAGTATTTATCACAAAGCAGGTATTTTAGTAGTTTGTGCATTAAATAGCACATAATGTCACCCTGTGCTCAGATGTATTTAATAGTATCTAGAAGGTATAGTATTATAAAGGAACTATTTATATGTTCAGATGTTGTCAGTTTTCAATTTTGAACCAATTATTTGGTTCAAATTATAGGAAATGTGACAAATGGTAATTCATACCACTKAGGGTATTTTATGGAGGGTGTTTTATGCATTTGCAAAAGGTAAAGTTACAGCAGAAAAGTCAGAACTCTTGGTCATCTCTAATCCCTTGAGGATCAGCAAACTACTGTGAAAATGTCCTCGGTGCCAGCTGGTCACCAGACAGCAAACACATCAGTTGTAATACAAGGAGAATGATTTGGTGATAATGAAGTCAGGAATGAGGATCCACATATATTAATTTCCCAGCCAGCACAAGTGTGTTGATTTAAGATAAAATCTATTCCTGTAGTTCGTGGGCAAACTGATGTCTTATTTCTAAGGAGCACAGAAAGGACATACCGAAGGACAGACATACCAAAGGACAGACAGATGGATGCTCTTAAAAAGGTTGCACTGTTTTACTCTCCAGGTTGGGAACTGCTTTTGAAGAACACATACTATTAAGCTAGAGTAGAGGATGGGTGCTTGAATGTGTTACGAAATTTTGGTTAAAGGTAAAGCAAGTTGCAGCAGGCTGGAGTGCTTTTAAATGATGCTGGCTACTAACATCTCCCAAAGCTTGTTGTACTTACCAGATGCTGACTGGAACCAGTGCTGGTTCYGCTTGCTGCTGCTGAGCTGTCCAAAAGCTAAGGTGGTTTTACCTACCCAGAACATATTYGGGTGCCAGGATCAAAAATACTCTTTATGTAAAAGGATTTTATGTGTTTTGCCTCAAAGGATTTGAGACGGAACAGACAAAATGCCTCATAGCTCCGTGCTTCCCAATCCCATTGTCCACGTTGTCTGCCTGACTTGCAGTTTAACTGTAGTGACATGAGATGTAGCAGGAAAAAGGCCACCTGTGTCAGTATATTTCCTGATGCTGTGATTAAACTAGATGGTTAGACTTAGGTAAATGCAATTAAAAAAACCATTATTTAAATGAACGGCAGAAAAACTCAATTGAAGTTATCAATTTTAATTGCTTTTTGACCATTGTGACATGGTGCTTTGCAACTAAATTTAATCCCTTCTTTTAATATATGTTTTTCTAACCAGGTGGATACACTGTTATCTCTGCTGCACATGCTGAAATGACTATATAATTCACCATTCATTTTTTCAGACCTTTAATTTTTATTATAGTAGAAAATGGTGAGCAAGCATATCTGTTTTCTTTTAATTTAATAGATGGTGAWTTTTTTTTGTCCTTTCTCCTAATCTGAGCTGAATGAAATGTGCTTGAAGTAGCAGGTCAGTAGGAATTCCAGCAGAATGCACCAAAGCAGCCGTGTTGAATTTTGCATTAATGCGATAAAACTATGCCACGTGCAGATACCTCCTTCATAATTTGTTTTATGTATGGCCTGATTTATTAGGAATCCTCGGAGAACACTTGACCGACCGCATCCTCTGAAGGAGGGCATGGGAAGGGCAAGGACTTAGGAATCCTTTTAGGAGGTGCAGGAATGTAGAAATGTACTTGTCTTGCCTTTTGGGTGAACGATGCACCACTGAGCACAGCACTCTTCTCTAAYTGAAGCTTGCCAGCTTTGGCATGACACTCATTGCTCTAAGATATGTCCTAAGGTGGCCTTGAGCGTGCCCTACAGGCCTTTAGTTTTGTGCAGATGGTAGGTGATTTGTAGCTGAAAAGTATTGCCAGAAGACTGAGTCATAGAGCAGCTGAATCATCAGAGAACATCTGGAAAGGAGTATCAGGAGGAAAACGTCTCCGGTCGTTGCCACACAGTGACACTTAGCTTTGCACCTGCATTCAGTGTTTTACCAGAGAATTCCTCTTAGAAGTCGTATTTTTTTCAAGAGAAGTGACGGGGCTAAAATACTGAGGTTAATGTGTGCTTCATTGGCAGACCTTCCAACGAAGAAGCAGCAGCTACAAGCCTTGAATCTTTTGGTTCTCCTTCTACCTGAAGCAAACAGAGACACCCTGAAGGTTAGAATTGCTAATAGTGTTTTTATAATTTTTTGCTTGTACAAATAAGAAAATTTTGGTGATTTCTCCTGAATTCACTGTAATGAATGCTGTTATCTTCTAACATTCCAAATGATGTGAGAAACATTTTTTTTTTATTTCAAAGTTAATGTTGAAACTTGTGTTTTTTTTTAATGTTTTCATATTTCACAGAACTACAAAAAATATTTAGGAGCCTAGTTCCAAACACCCAAATGACTCTTTAGATGGAGACTTGAAAATTTTCCAAGAGATTGCAATAATAATCTCTCAGTGAGTGACCTATTCTATTAAAAGTTTGTTTCCTTTTTTTGCATGAGCAGTCGCTGATTATTTCAATGGAAAAAGGAACAGTATTAGAATACTATGGATGAGACTTGGCTTTTAATGAATGGGTTGGGCTCTTTGTTTTGGTTGCCAGCTTTTGTATGTGCTGTTTGTTTCAACCCTCATTAAGCTAGAAACGTACACTTCCTCCTGATATTTGCAGCCCATTACGTGGAGTCTTCCAGGCTGGCCTTGTGCTCATGTGTCAAAGCTATTCATTTTCTCTCGGAACATGCCTCCTATTAAAATTGCTCCAAACAAAAATAAATTTGCAGGATTTGTGTAGGATGCAGAGGTTCTTGGATGCTTTCTATTCTGGGCAAAAATCCCATTAGTTCTTACTATTTAAACATGCCTTCCTTTTGAAAYGTATTTACTGCGTGGAAGCCCTCAGGAGGGCTCTGGAGTTGAGTTGTAAATAACAGGGAGTGAATTAGTTGAAGACTGAGGGTTTCTAACGGGCTTCCTGTCATTCATAATTCAGTGCTTTGCACGAGTTCCCTGCACGGCTGAGCCAGCCCCATGGAAAGCAGGACAGCTGCCGTTCCTGTGTTCACCTGCAGTTGAAGAGAAGCCAATGGTCATGCTTCCAGAAGCAGCTTTGGGGTACCCCCCTGTGCTCCAAAATAACAAGTCTTCTGAAACTCACACTCTGCAGGGCTTTAGAGTCACTTGAGCGTTCCTGAAATGTTATCCACAAAACTAACTAGAATGATTTCCTTCATTAGTTAAAGGAACAAAAGCTTGCATTACAGCCTTCTGACTAAGTATAACCATACTTCCCACTACTGATTGCCTTCAAAATAGTTTTATTAGGCATAAAGAGGCTTTTTGGAGGGTGTATCATACAATGTTTCACTCCAACTTTTGYGTGTGTAGAAATGAGGTTGGAATTCTGCGCCTCTTTCAGGTACTGCTTGAATTCCTCCAAAGGGTAATTGATCATCGAGACAAAAACAAAATGACGCTGAAGAACGTTGCAATGGTGATGGCCCCAAACCTTTTCACATTTCATGGGTTTGGCTCCAAGTCTGTTGAACAAAGCGAGTTTGTTATGGCAGCTGGAACAGCAAACGTCATGCGCTTTATGATTCAGTACCAGAAGCTTCTCTGGACAGTAAGTATGCTTTAGGGCGGGCAAAATCATAACCTTCACAAGCAAGGCATCTGAACAAAGTAGTAATGTGAACTGTGAAGTTATTTCTGTAAAATAGAGAAGGAAMAGCCTCACCTTGCTGAATTTTTGCTCACAGATAACTCTTTAAGGGAGTGAAATATAATCCTTACATGTTACAGTGGAATTGGTGGTGGTGGTTAGAATGTTAATATTGTGTGTATGTAATGTGTGAATTCAGAAGAAAGTCCTTGGGGGATAGTTGTGATTGGCCTATCACTGTGCATTTCTTTATGAGGACTTTATTCCTTTCTACGTGGAAAAAAGAATAAAAAAGAAAGGAATCTTGCAGGAGATGGGCTGTGTTAGTTATATAAGAAATGTTAAAACATGTCTTCATAAAACACGAAGTTGAGCCGTGGTCATAAGCAGGCTCTCGCAGAGGCTGGAGAACTTCAGGCTTTGTTGTTCATCAGCAACTTGAACCAATCCAGACATTTTCATGCAAGGAATATTATCAGCATCACACAGACTGTGCTGAATGAAGGTTTCTGGCTGAGGAAAGTAAAAACTCTCTATAAAGACATGATTCCAGCTCTAATTCATTGAKAGCTTACTCTATGGTGTGGAAAATCAACAAGTGCGGGTTTTCTAAAGTGTTTTTATAGCCTTACATTATTTGAGTCTTTAATCATTACAGGAAATAGGTATTATTTCTCTAGCTCTGCTTGATAATCTGTCAATTTATATAAATTCTGAAGTTAAGGAAGTGGTGCAGTTATTCATCCTTACTGCCTGTGTTCCTCTAGATTCCTAAGTTTATTGTTAACCAAGTGAGAAAACAGAACACTGAAAGCCAAAAGAAGGAGAAAAAGGACAAARCTATGAAGAAACTTCTGAAAAAGATGGCATATGATCGGGAAAAGCATGAGAAGCAAGACAAGACCACTAATGATGTAAGAAAAGATACACCTGATAAAAGCTGTGTTATTAAGACTCTCATATCTGTTGAAAGCAATGGATATAGCGAGGTAGATACTGCTGAGAGGATTATTTTAACACTTGTTTAAGTGGGAATTTAAGTAAGTAGTAGATTAGTATGGCCTACCTGGTTCCCTGCAAGAAACATTTTTGAGGATGAGTTGGCTGGTTGATTACCATATTTATTTATTTATTAATTACACAGATTTTGCAAAACATTAGTATTCTGAAAAACAGTATCCCATAGATAGTTTGAGTCACATGAAATCACCACAGTTTCAGACATCTGAAGCAAAATTACTTGAAGTTCTGTATTAGTATAAGGGGATAGTGTTGTGACAACACGGTCACTGCCCTTGGGTTTCCGTGCATTGTTGCCCAGTGGAATTCATAATACACTGTGTGTTTATTTGCTACTAGATTTCAATGTTTGATATTTAAGAGTCATAAAAACCRAAGCTAGCAGGTAAGCCTTTCTCCTACGGGAGTTCCCTCAGCATTGAGCTCTGCCCCAGGGAGCCTTGAAGTATTCCGTGTAAAGAGGAGCGTGCTGGGGMACACACAACGAATGAGAAACATTCAGAAAACGATAAATTCACATATTAGGCAGCTCCTGTCTGTGTGTGCACTCGCATGTTATCTCTCTAAATACAAACTACAGTATCTCTTTGTTAAGTAACTGACTTCTAGCAGAGCCTTCAGTGGTAGGTAGGCAGATGCTTCAATCTAACATTGTTCACATGTTCTTTAAAATGGAAAACTCCACTTTGGAGTGGAAATGGAAATTCCAATGGAAACTTCTTTTTTCTTATGTGTTAGAATTTTTTATTTGAATGGTTTCCCCTGACATGGGAACTTTTCAGAAAAGTTATCTCATGTACCTAGCAATTACTATTTGTCATTTCAATTAAGTAAATATTTACAATTTTTTAGTTTAGTTTTGGTGGCCTRTACACTGTAGTCTCTTATATTCATTCTTCCTTTCTGACAATGCATCTTTGGCAATGCATCTGATATGCACCTGTATCCTCATAACATAATGAACACAAATCAGATTTAAATTATGTGAAAATACAATATTGTGATTTGAAGATATTTTCAAGAATCTGGTGAGTTAGAGACATCTTGTGGTTGCTTGTACAAAATACACTAGCCTGAGTTGTCTTTTTTTCTTTGTGTATGTATAGTAAAGTATTAAAGCTGTTAAGCCAGAATAGGGAATATGAATATTTTGTAATATCCCACCAGTCTGCAACATTTACTCTTACAAGTATATCTTTTTTTTTACTTTTTTTTTTTTTTTTTAAACAATAGATGGTCATATTTTGTGCAGGTTGAAGCTTTTGGGGGTAGCTTTCTCTTAAAGAGTCAGGAAATAAATTTGAAGTATACCCACAGTTTTTAAAGGTGTGCTTGGTAACTTGCTGGTAATTTTTAAGTGCCCATTTCATGTCTGAATTTTAAAAAAGAGATAAAAAAAGATAGTACCTGTTTGAGGGACCAGTGATTATGTATTTTTTAACTTGATTCATGTGCATATTTAAAGCCTTTCTATGCAGTAGCCATAAAAATACACAGATTTATTCCCATAGTGAAGAATTTATGTGGTGGAGAATGTTYATTAGCATCTTACAGTATGTATTTCCAAAGTATTGAAAACAGTATTTTACATGGCTAATGCAGAATTGAATCTCTACCATTTCACAAGAAGATTAGTGCTGGAGTGTGCAAAAAGCTGGATCCTTCATATTACCATTGAAGCCAGTATCTGCTGCAGCCTCTTTTTCAGTGTTCTTAACTCATTTTCTGTGTAATATTTGACATATCTCTAAATGTTGTATATGGCTTAATTCCTCAGACATCATTTTATCTTATTTTCATATCTGTCTGTTTATAAGAATATAGTTGAAGGAATCCACGCAGAGAATCACAGCTTATCTAAAATTTTAAAATAAAACTTTTTAACACTGATGGAATTGCTTTTGTATTGTGTAATAAGAGGACTCTCTGCAAACAGTTCAGCTGCTGTGATGAGCTGACACTTAAAAGAATGCTGCCATCACCTGTTCAATGTAGAAATAACACTAGAATCTGCTGAAATAGTCAAATGATGTTGCAGCTTTAAACAAAAGGAGTTATATTTTCTTTTGATAATTCAGTTTGGTCTTTTATGGCTTCTTAATCCACCAGAGAATTACAGTTGAGGTCTCAAGTAATACACTCTTGCCCAAATGTAAAGTAACTATTCTGGGATTTTCTTCAMGCTTTAGAAATCTCAGGAGATTTTCTGGAAAGAAAATTAGCAGCAGTGCTTTTTGGTAGCCCTAGTCCAGGAGGAACCTGGTTAGCGGTGCAACGCGGTGCTACCGCGTGTATCTCATACAGGACAGAGGAACCACCATGTCCTCTCGCTATTGTTTGTCTAACCTGTTTGCATTTTCACAGGATAACGTTGCTGACTTCTGCTAAATTTGGGATCCACTGTAGTCCCAGATGATTTACCAATTGCTACCTGCTAAGTTGTTTCTCCCTTGTATAGTTGTATAGCTAGTTCTTCCAAACTAGATGGATTCARTGTTGCAAGCCTCATCTGGAGAGCACTTGGGAGGCAGGAGGGGTACTTAAGTGACATTTTACTGACCAGGTTAGGTGCCCTCGTGGCCAGCAAGGCCAATGGGATCCTGGCTGCATCAGGAGGATATTGCCAGCAGGTCAAGGGAGGGGATCCTGCCCCTCTCCTCAACTCTGGTGAGGCCGCACCTGGAGCATTGGGGGCAGGTCTGGGCTCCCCAGGACAAGAGGGACGTGGAGCTTCTAGAGAGGGGGGCAACAAAGATGATTAAGGGACTGAGACATCTCTCATATGAGGAGAGACTGAGTGAGTTGGGCCTGTTTAGCCTGGAGAAGAAAAGATTAAGAGGATCTGATCTATATGTGTAAGTAGCTGAGGGGAGAATGTAGAGAGGAGGGGGCCAAACTTTTCTCATTGGTGGCCTGTGATAGGACAAAGACAAGTTCTTCCATATGAGGAAGAACTTCTTTCCTGTGAGGGTGGCAGATCCCTGGAACAGGCTGCACAAGGAGGTTGTGGAGTCTCCTTCTCTGGAGGTCTTCAAAACCCACCTGGATGCCRCCCTGTGCCCCGTGCTCTGGGTGTCCCTGCTGGAGCAGGGGGGTTGGACTAGATGATCTCTAGAGGTCCCTTCCAATGTCTCCATTCTGTGACCTCACTTTTCAGTGTTTTGTCACTCCCTTTCTAGGTGTTTGGCTTGTATTTGTAATATCTCCATTAATATTAGCTGAGACAAAATGATACAGAATTGAAAATTAACATAAAAGCCGATTTGAATTTACCCTGCTGCACCTGATAAAGGACCTGTTAGACATGTGTGCAAATATCTGTTTCCCCCCTTCAAAGTTACCCTTCTTGTTGCCAGAAGGTGTGATGTCAGCAGGTTGGAAGGAAGCAAAACAGGTTTAGGTGGGAGTTAACTTTATAGCAGGGGCTACAGACATTTGTTTCCATAGGTGGTGGCTTTAAAGATCACATTAGACAAATTTAGGGATACATTTTCACTTTCTGAGATCCATTGCAGCCTTGCAAGTCTTTGATTCCATGATGATTATGAAGCAAATGCTCAATTTGCTGATTCAATAACGGGCCTTTAGTTTCCTCAGGAAACTGTGCTTTTGATTCCGATCACATTTATACTTGTTCTATATTAGTTTAACTTGAATGGCTTCAGAAGAGCTATTCTGGACTCACTGGTGCCCAAATTTGTTCATTGATTATGGAAGAATGAATGTTCAGCTTTACAATTGCAGTTAATGGAGGAGGGGGAGAATGAACTGTCATAATCAGCCTTGACTACTGGTATTTTTACATTTCTTTGCCTATCAAAATGAGTACATCTGGGTAAATGGTAGTGTAATATGAATAGAAAAATTATCTTAAGATTTGCAGGAACAGAAATTAGGACTTTATTCACAAATAAGTTATGCCTTTTTTGTCTTCAAATGTCATGTACTGCAAGTTGAACAGAAAAAAACAGTTCTTCAGAGCCCTCCTTCTCTATAACTAATATGATTGATATTCATCATCAGGGGTTTCTGGATTGAAATAAAATACAAATCCATTATGTAGTCAGACCTGCTGTTTGACTAGCTGAATATATTCTGGAGAATAAGAAATGAGGATGAAAAGCTGCACTAGTGAGTATCTGTGTTTTAAAAGGAAATGGTGTTTGAAAGGAGGAATCACTTAAGACTGACCCATGAATATGTTGTGATTTCTTTCTGGTACCCAGTTCAGGTGAAATGAAACTGGAAGGACTTTTGAGAAGAGAGAAGGGAGGGCAGGATGCTCAGCTGACAGGGTTTCAGGCATACAAGTCCACATCAGTCTCATACACTGCATTACTTCAGTGGGTTCTTAATATAGAAGCGATCACTCTTGTTACCAGTAACATCTTTGAAAACTAATTCAACACCACTGTACCTTTGTTCTAAAGTTCTTTCTACCATTAGGAAGAGATTAGAAGGTYTGAAGTCATTTCCTAAATTACTGCACAGTTACGATGTTTCTGCAGTGAAGCAGGCGGCAGTGAAGCACGCTTGCAGAGCCTTACACGAAGTTCCTTATTCCCTCCTGCATTTGGAGGAGCTCCTGAAAGGCAGCTGCTCGCAGCTTCCTTCCAGTGTCGTTATTGCTTTGCAGGCTGATGTTCCGCAGGGAGTGATACGGGTGCAAGCGCCTCATCTTTCCAAAGTTTCCATGGCAATACAGCTGACGGAAGAACTGAAAGCCGCTGATATAGTAGCCAGGTTTCTCAGCCAGAAAAGGTACGAACGTGTTCTTGTTTTGCTAACGTTTCAGGATAAGTGACTTTTCATATATAACGTGAGGGAAAAAAGTTTTGAAATAGTTGGAATCAAGGTGAGGTCACTGGACTTTTGGGTTAAACTTAGCCTGCTGGAGTACATGCTTGAGGAATTAGTGTTCCTAATCTTCTCAAGCTAATGAGGCCTTCAGGATTATGTGAGCACCCTTAGAAGAAAATGAATTGCTGTGTGTTTAATTGGGCCTAGAATACTTTCCTTATTTTTCTGGGAAGAATTAACCAAGAAAATAAGCTGAAGAATCAAATATATGAAGAAGAGAGAAAAAGTATTTTGTAAAAATTGCATTTATGTATTACAGCAGTCTAGGTATAGGAATATAAATGCGAGAACATGTCATGCATGTGCAGTGATTTAAAAGGAAAGCTGCATTGGGTCATCCAAATCCACTGAGAAAGCAAAATAATTAGTTAAGTCTTTCTGTTTACTTACCTGTATATAATATCTATTTCTTTGTATACAGGAGCAAAAATATGAAATCAGAATAGATTTTAATACAAAATGACATTTAACACCAGCATTGTGCATCTTAACATTTTCATAAATCTATTTGTGCTAGTGTGGCACTTTAGTTGAGATCAAGGAACAATTTCTTCCTAAATGCTGTTTTCAGAAGTTTAATACTTCTGACAAAAAGTTATTTTCTTGACACACTTGAGCATGTATGTCTACAGTTAAACAGWGAGAAAAAATAAAATCYTTTTGTAATTGGGGGGTTTATTCTTCCACTAYCTATTTTCCCCTTCTTTTAGTTGCAAGAATATGGTTTCCCTTACCTAACTATGAGGCTATTTCAGAAACATGAGTTGGGTGAGGGGAGCATTTATTGTGAAAATGGAAAAAAAAAGTAAATAAGGATCAGATACTTGCTAATAAAGATGAAATTGTTTTCTGAAAACTTGTGTTTCTTCATGTCTGTCTTACATTCTTCTGTTGCTGGACTGTACATTTGCACTAGCGTGCAAGGGTATTCTTGCTCACTTTTCTATCAGTAAAGGAGTAAACACATGAAGGGATGTGTTGGTACACTGGCAATTTTAGCTACTGTAACTTCTCTTGGACGTGTTTAAGTGGTTCTTAAGTGTTGATGTACACGCTCTCTGGCAGTTTAGTTAATCATTTTGTTTTGTGCCTAACAGTGGAAACGTCCAAACACTCAAGAGAGAAGAGGTCTTTCTGTACGAAATAGGAGGAAATATTGGTAAGAATGATTTCTGAACAGCTTCTTCTGTTCCTTGGCACTTTGTCCACAGGCTTCCCTGCAGTTGCATGCTGGTATAAACAGGAGGGGAATTTGCCCCTTAAAGACTACCGGGGGTCAACAGAGTGCTCTTTCAGTCCATATATTACCTCAAGCTCACATGTCAGCCTATCAGTCCAGAGCGAGCTGACAGAAATAAAAATTGCCATYATGGAAGAAGAAGGGACTGCATGTAACTAGGAATTTTTTTTTTACTTAGTGCTTTATTTTTCCTAATCTGCAGGTCTGAGCTCTTTGGAGCAATGTCTGAAGCTTRAATCTGCCTCTTTTTTTTTTTTATTCTCCTTCCAAGTATTTCTATTTATCGTTAGCTGACTGTGGTAAAGCTAGATTCAGGTAGTATAGCTTTTCATCTGYTCCCATCCAGACAAACAGGTGGAGAGGTTTCTGAATTCTGAATATCTTCTCTGTTTGTTTCTTTGTTTTCTCCAGGTAATTAGCAAACATTTGAATGGGAAAGAAGCAGTTAAAATTCAGATGTGATGATGGGCCTAGTCCTGACATGATTTTTTTTTGCCAGCTAATTTTTGAGGGAGGTTAAGCTATTTTTATTCATGTCCATGGTTAACCAGTGATGATGCCAACAGAGAAGGTTAGCTTGGGGATAGGGAAGAAGAGAAGCTGGTGTGATCGTCGCCAGTAATATCTCATTATCTCTGCTAGAGGAAGGCAGCAGTTTTTACAGGTGAACCTGATATGTATGTACAGTGAGGAACCACAGAAAAGTTGGATAAGGAAGGTGCCTGAAGTTCATCTTATTCATCTCTTTCAACTGGGGCATAATAAATGAACTTGCAGCCCCTTTGTGCTCTGCATTTGAGTGTTTTTTACGAGTTCCTATGGGGAAGTCACTGCTAAAATGGAAAGAACCTAATCTTCTAGCGATGAAATTTTCCAACTGTTCATCTTTCTTCCTCTGTGTGACCATTGATTAAAACAAAGAGTAGATCAGCAAGGTTACTGCCAAAGCGTTATTTTGAATGCAGTTCTGAAATTTTCTTTAATGWATGTAGAAGTAGTTTTACATTAGGAATCTGTTTCTAATCACAATTTCTTTCACATGGTGAGCAAATTAAAAAAAAACAACAACAAAAAAAAAGAGAAATGGAAAACAGTATTTGATTGGATTTACATTTTTTTCCGTCCCAACTGTGGATTATTAAAGTTTATCTGAAATTATAAAATCCCATGAAGGTTCAGTACGTCTGCACACTGAATTTTAATCCTGTAGGTAATTGTTACTTTTGGCACTTTTCCCTGCACCCAATCACTACTTTAAATTAATTCCAATGTTTTGGTATCTCAGCCAGAAGACTTAAGCTGAAATAACTCTTTTCTATTTCTCTATAACATTTTTTTCTTTTTTAGTTTYTTTCAGTAAGTCTGAAGGCAAAAACAAACAAAAACCGTAACATATTTGGATGCCAGATTATTTTATTACGTATTTATTTGCATAAGCAATATTTACCATGCCTGTTAAAGCAGTTTGTGTTCCCAGCCTTGTACGATGTTTTTAAAGGAAGCGAGTGTTTTTCTTTTATTATTGTTGTATAGAAGTGTTAACATTGTAGAAGAAAAGTCTGTAACAGAATTCCAGTGAAACTGGAACAACCTAGAATTACGTAAAAGATGTGTGTGTCTCTTGGAGCAAAGAGGCTGCTGCTGGCAAATATATTTTCTGCCAATTGCTRTGTGATAGCATATATTTTACATATGGTATAGAATAGATATCCTTTAGATACACTTTAGAAGCCTCCTCTCCCTGAATAGATTATTGTTGAACTTCAGCTTTAGTGAACTATTATAAATACTAGTCTTAATCAATCTAGCAAATACTCTTAAATGCATAGAGCGACTTCCTGACTGTAACCTACTTGGAAGGTTTAAGTAAGCTATTTATTGTGACTTTTGCTGTTTGCAGCTTTTCTGCTACTGACTCTGACGTTCAGCCTGACTCGTGTAAGGGGAGCCCAAGAGCGGGCAGCCTCAACAGGCTCATGTGCCTTGACTTAGGCTCGTAACTGCGTCTCGAGCAGTGCCGTGATCGTGCCCCCTAGCCGGGCTGCTGCAGCCTGGAGATGTGTGTTGAGAAGCCAGCAGGCTGCAGGGCCCCAGCACCTTGCACAGGACCTCGGGCCTGCCGAGCGGCCAGCACTGCCGGACAAGGCCCTGAGGAGCCGCTGCCGACACGGGACAAGGCCCTGAGGAGCCGCTGCCCCTCGGCAGGCCAGGACTACCGGACAGGCCCTGAGGAGCTGCTGCCCCCAGCACTCCCGCCTCAGCATGCTAAGCAGCAGGGACAGGGAAACCTAGGGCAGGAGCTTGGGGGTGGCCTGGCATAAACGGCCTGGAGGGAAAATGGCCTGTGAACAAGCGAGGAGGAGGGATGGAGGAAAGCAGAGCCTGGAGAGACTGGGCGCAGTTGAGYGGGGAGCCCGGCCAGCTGGCGGGTGCTGTCTGCTTCTCTCCCACGGAGACGTGGGTGTGCCAGGAGCATCTGGCTGGCCAGTTCAGGGGGCCACCAGCCACCTAAGGCTGAYGCTTGCGACGTGGAGTGAGAGAGGGGCCGTGGGGCAGAGCTGGAGGTGCGGGAGACGAGGCCCTCTGCCCCTCAGGGAATGGGAGATCTCTCACAGCACATCCTCATGGACCAGCTTTTATGCTTTCTTCATAGCTATTAAACATAAATCGTCTACTGTGACAAGAATTTTGGAAATCTGTTTATTTATTTATGGTACTAATGGAACCACGCTTTCTCTTCACTAGGAGAACGCTGCCTTGATGATGACACCTACATGAAGGACCTGTACCAGCTCAACCCGAACGCTGAATGGGTTATAAAACCTAGGAGTAGCTAAGCTCACAACAGAAGGCAAAAGAACAACCTGTGGACTTACTTTGTAAAGCTGGATGTTTCAAAGGGATAGTGTGTCCTTTCACCACTGARATTTATTTCTACTGTGTTGTATATAAATTAATAGAATCTTGCCTAGTTAAAGAAAAAAGAAGGAAATGGATACACAACAGTGATTACTAGTAAATTTTCACTTTTACTTACAGCAAAATATTGGAGAAAGAACAATTTTCCCACTCATATTTGGAATGAGACTAAGTAAGTTAGATATTTTAATGGAACTAATCTACCATAATGATACTCCCATCTGGTAGATCTTGTTTCAGAAGAATTTATTKCTCAAACAGATGTTTAACCTTTGTGTATTAGAGATCTACAGTCTGTTTGTGTAGAAGTGTGGGCTCATAAAGGTTTTTACAGTGTTAGCACACTGGAGAACCAAATTCTGATCAGCACTTCTGAATGGTACAGTATTAAAAATACTTAAAACCAGTCACATGAATTTCCCAAGTGTGAAATGCACAGGAAACAACGGCAATGCAATACATACTGTCTTTGTCTTTGAAAGTCCTATTTTTTCACTTTTTASGTAAAGTTTGATAAAAACTATTTAAAAACAACTGTGAAAAATGCTTTCTATACAGCTGTTTTGCTAGATCTTTTTAATATTTTTCATTCTTATTCTGCTTGTTCGATTGTATTTTTTTAAAAATAGGACAATATGACAAGGTGAGTCATTGTAAAACTCACCACTCTTGGCAGTTCCTTTCTGGAATATTGTCATCCACTAGAAAGACCTTTATTTTTTCAGCAATTACGTGTGGCCATGCTGCGTACACTGGTTTCACTTTTCCTGAACATCTCATAGATTGCAAAGCATTCTGTGAACTGCCAAAACCTGCCAATTACTAGCAGAATACAAACTTTCAGCATGAGTAAAACAACTGTGGAGAGAAACTGTAGTCCGAATTTCATAGCTATCAGACCTTTCACTCGAATAGATGTGAGGGTTTACCGTGGAGTTTTTGCCCATGCTTTGGGGTGATGTCTCTACCTGACTACCATTAGCTTTATACCTGGTATCTCYGGGTGGACAAGCTCGAAAGCAAATCCTGATTTCCCTTAGGCCGCTGGATGCAGTCTAAAGCACTTAAAAATGAATAATCCGTGGGGTAAACTATTGCRAATCCTTCTCTTTGTAGTGAAGGGCTGTGAGTTCCCCGTGGCATTCACTGGTAATGAATTACCGATGGGCATAACCTCTTGCGGGGCGAAGGGCTGTGAACGGCAGCTCGCCCTGCAGCAGTACTTAGGGCCCCGCCAGCTTGGGCAACACTTTACGGTTTATTTGTTTATAAATAAACTAACTTGCCCATGCTTAAATACTCACACCTGCACGCTGGCGACCGGAAATAACAACTGTGAAATTATACCCTTGGAGCGAAATGTTTCCTTTCTGTGCACATACAGACCTACGTTGACCTGATAGGGAATATCCTACATCCAGTCGAGGCTCGAATTATTACTATTTTGACTTGATCAAAGCCACTCATCGGAGAGAAGGGGCCTTACTGTGTTCCTACAGGCCCCAATAACAAACTGGATTGCTCAGTGTCATATGTAAGCAATGAAATAAAACTCTGAAAGGTCACAGTAAAAATTTAGGCGCAGCGCATGAACAATTGGGGGGCATAAATATTTATTGGCTCTTAAAAGTCAAGGCTGTGTTGCTATGGGAAAGAAGTAATATACTGAAGAAAAGCAGGAGGTAAAAACACCTGTTGGGAGTGTTGTTGTAATGTGACTGTCCTGGTCTGGACGCCCCGTGTCGCRGTGCCCCGATGCGGCATCGCCCCGGGCCATTGCGGGCAGAGCCCCGAGGCAAATCGCTCCCGCCAGGAGAACAAACCCGCCTTCTTCCTGTCCTCTGAACGTAAGGGAGAGAGCAGAGAGCCGGTGCAGTGCTTACCCAGATATTTATGAATCCCATGTARTAAGTGTAAGGTGTTTTTGTCGTGTAGAAATGCCGAAATGTGTGCTCCTAGTACTTTATATAGTTTCTGTAAAAGATTACTTGTTGCTGGAACTCTAGATGTTATTTTAATCAGGAGCAAAGTGCAGATGATAGGAACAGCTGTGCAGTCTCAGGATAAAATTACACAGGACTGTCCTGTGGCTATGATCATTTAAATAACTTTGTTTCTGGTTTAGTGCCATTATGCCATTATCTTTTTTTTTTTTTTAATTTAAAAAAGCTCTTTTATAATTAAATGTTGTTTTCTGAATTCTCATGGGACTGTTATTTTTGTGCATCAGACAGACACGAACGGCAGCGAGCGCTGCTTGTTAACATCTCACGAGGTATCGTGGGTAACATCCCACAAGGTAGCGCACGTCTGTGCGCCTAAAAAAGACCCACAACTAAGTCTTGCATTGGGAAGCAAGCAGCCTTGCCCAAACAGCCTGCTGGGCAGGGAAAGGAGGGAAGAGGAGGGCTTAATGGGCCAAGTTTGGCCGTGCCTAGCGGAGTAGCTCCAGCGTGGCAGTGTCCTTGAGACGTTTCAGTTTGGGGCAGAACAACCACTGGGCACTCAAGGGGCGAGGAAATAATGTTTTTATCCAGTGAGCACCTGCTGGGAAGGAAATGTCTTTGGAAGCCCAGCTTAAAGCTTTTTACAGTCCATTATTTCTTTGTCAGATATTCCTCTCAAAAACACCAGCCCTGTTCAATAAAATAAGCCTGTTAGTAAGTGGTAAGAGTCACGCTGCAACAAAAAGCGAACTTGATAAACCCAGATGTTTTAAAGGAATGCATTCCTTCTGTATCATACCAAATACACCTAACTGTTGGACCTYGACACTTCGGTTTCTAAAGGGATGCAGCCACTCAAAAAGCCTGGAACGTGTATGCTCTAAAACTATGGTTATTTTTATAACTATTTATACAGAGCAGTGCTGAAAATCTTTAAACTGGTGTTTGCATTAGCACGCAGACGGCATCTGTGGCAGGTGAGTACTTACCATCTCCCTTTAACAGATGGGAAAACAAACTGGCTGGCATGGAGCCAGAAGTTGGATAAAGTCTGATTTGTGGAAACCGTATCTAGTCTTCTGAACACTGTTTTTAAAATCTGCAATATTGCCAGTAACAGAAGTTCAGCAATTGCAAGCCTGGCTACAGGGGACAGAGCTGTTTTAATAAATACCGTGATTTTTAGCCTGGTTTCCAAAGGAAAGGTGTCTGGGGTAATCTCGCTGCCTGTGTGTGTCCTCCCCTAATTACTTCTGAAGCTGTTGGCAGACTTCAATCATTTTTGGCGAACAGAGAGGGGGGAGGGAAGGGAGGGATGTCTCAAAAATAATTAAGTTCCTGTAAGCTTCATAGAACTAGGCAACTGGAAGGCAGGCAGGCAGGCAGGGCAAGCSGTTTGATCAGAGGAGAGATGACAGAATAAATTCAGCCTCATTTATACACTAGACCAAATGAACGTTCACATGCCCTCACCATGGAAGGAGGTTGCAGTCGGAGCTCACAAGCAGCCGTGGGAAGTTAGTGTTGCTCCTTGGGATGCTCATGGTAGCCCTGGCTTGTGTTGCCTTCTGACTTGGGACTTTCCTCGCTGACTCCGTGCGAGTCACCCTTGCTGCTTATGCTGCAGTAGTTCTCATGCTCTTGGTTTTGTGGTGCAGCTTTTCTGACAGCTTGTCCCCTTTCCTGTCCCTTTGGGGTCAGCGACTAGATGAGCCCCTTCCTTGCCCCTTCCTCTGTCTGCAGTTAATGGACTTCACACGGGCTGGGACGTGGGTGCTGTTCCTTCAGTCTCATCTCTGCCTTTGTAGGCCTATTGGGAACTATTTGAACCCTGGGCGAATACCACGTCAGATCTAAAATATGGCAGTATAAAATGGTAACCTTCCCATGCAAAATTTATCCAAATCAAAAATCTCTACAGTCCTTGGCACTCCATTATTTACTGGTGTCACTATCTCTGGGAACCACTGAAAGGATCCTTGGCTCTCTCCRTGGCCCTGTGAAACAAGTAAGCCATGTTCAGTTGTGCTGTGGCACCAAAGTTTCTCATTTTATCTGCTAAGTGAAATTTTTCCTCCCTCTCCATAATACCTTCCTGTTGATCTTGTTTTTCTTTTGGTTTAATGGGGATCAGTTCCCCTGAAACAACCTGATCCACCTGGTTAATAGTTTTTAGATCAGGCCCTACAATTAAGGCCCTTTAGATCAGGCTAATAGGCCTTTTAGATCAGGCCCTACAATGAGATTTCTTGTGTCTTTAGAGTGAAACTGCTGTCTCTTCATTACATCAATATGTGTTTGCTGCTTGTTTTCATTTTGGGGAGAGGAGAGAGCAGTTTGGGTGTAGTGGGGGATCGTTCCTATAACACATCTTTATTCCTGCACATCTTTATTCCCTTCTCTGAAGATACCGCAGTTGTTCAAAACCTCTATAAGCTGCCACAGGCAGTGAAATGCTGGTTCCCTGACACCGAGGGTGACTTTCTAGACTTCAGCACCTCTCTTGGCGCCTCGTTTTGGYTTTGGAGCTGCTGTTTGCCTGCAGGATTCGCGTCAGAATTGGCGTCCAGGCCGCGGTAGGTGGCAGTCTCGTGTCGGAGTTGGTGGCGCAGCCGGACTCTGCGCAGAGGCATGTGCAGCGCTCACCCTCAGGATGCAGACCTGTGGTATGTGTGTGGTTAGAGAGCCTGGCTGCCTGGCTGCAAACAGCCAGCAGTGCTTAGTGAGAGTCAGGAAACACATCATAAATGCCCGATAATCTCGTGTCATTTTTGCAGCGTATGTAACACTGTATTTTGGAGAAGGTTAAAAGTATTTGATAGTAATCTAACTATAATTTTTTTCATCTTTGCTAATAGTGATGTCTGCGTTCCTGTCTGCTTTTGTGCTGTCCAGCCTAGCATTTGCACTAAGATTTGTTTGACTTCCTAGACTGACTTTTTTTGCCGTTCACACCCTCAGATGATCAGAAGGTGCATCCATTATACACAACTTGGCAGGGTCCAGGTGTCTGGACACCGAAAAGGGTCTACAGTACAACTGAAAACAGCAGACTTTGCAGTAGGATCTCACTAGCTCGTGTGAATTACTGACATAAGTAAACCTCCCTYGTTCTCAACACATGCAAATGCAGGACCCACTCGCTCCACATGACCTAGAGGAAATGAGSGAGCACATACTTGCTCAGAAACACTTCATTGTCCGACTGGGATTCCAAACGCTGCATTGAATTAGCAACTGGAAACTGATTTGCTGCTTACTCTTTCTTTCCTAATTTGAGAAGAGGTTTCTGATTCAAATCTTGCCTTCTGGTTTAGGATTAACATGAAATTTAGTAAGTCTAATCTAATTTGTCTTGATTATTTGCTGGTATGTTATCCTTAATAAAGCAGGTGAGTTCCTAAGCTCTTATTGCAGATGCTCGTCCCTCACTGTAAAGAAATACTCCTTACTCATGAGTCTAGTTCAGCCTGTGTAAAAGCAAAGTTTCTTGCCACAAGAAGCAGAGCTTGAGTAGGGGAAATGCTGTGCAGGCTCCCGTTGTGGTG